TTTTTGCTATAGGGTGCGTGCGCTTGCCAGAAAGATAGAGAGACAGAGAGATAGAAAGTGAGAAATCACCCCCCGGGGGGATGGCCACACCGCAATCTCTTCTCCATTCTTCCTCTCGGGATCTTGGGCACACACGCACACGTGCCCGGCGTGAGTTTAAGCCACTGGGTCAAGGACTCGAACCGTGGTTGGCTACATGGGAGTTCAGCGATATAGCCATTACGCTAACTGCTGGTCCCCAAATACTTCTTTTAAAAAAAGAGAGATAAATGTCACTCTATTCTTAGATTTGAGGTTGCTATGCTACTTAATTATACTAAATGTAATTTCTGCTCGCCAGAGAAAAATCTTTCTTTTTCCTTTTTTTTTTTGAATAATGTGTATATGGCCTTAAATAAATATTCATTTGGGAGAATTAATTCTCAGTACTCAACCAGTGTGGTTTTCAAGCTGCCGGGTTTGGACTCAAACTGCACAGTTGGCTATGTGAGATCCAGCTGCCTTAACCGCTGCACCACCTAGCTGGACTTTTTGGCTTTTTTTAGTTTCTTTGTTTGTTTGTTTGTTTTGTTTTTACTAGTGGGCATGTGCTTTTGCCAGAGAGATATAGAGAGGCAGAGAGAGGAAGAGAAAGCATCCCTGGTCGGGCATTGTCAAACCTCAATCCCTTCTCCTTCTCTCCCTCCTTTTGAGATTTTGGGCATGCACTCACACATGCCTGGCTTATTTCGCAAGTCCCTGAGTCTGGGACTTGAACTACAAGGGCATGCATGTGGGTTTAGGCTGCCTTAGCCACAAGGCTACAGATATACTCCCTTATAGTCTATTTTTCAGTGTATTCCACTGGAACAGGTGCACAATGATTTAAAAATACCTCTTATATTTTTTAAAGAGGCTTTTGCTTTAGTGCACATGTACTCACCAGAGAGAGAGAGAGAGAGACAGAGACAGTGAGAGGGAAAGTGAGAAATCAACCTCCAGGAAGGATAGTCATGCTGCAGTCCCTTCTCTTCCATTCTCCTCCTGGGATCTTGGGCACACATGCACACTCACCTGATGTGAGTTTCGAGCCACCAGGTCTGGGAATCGAACTGTGGTTGGCCATGGGCATCCAATGACGTAACTGCTATGCCATTTGCTAGCCCCGGATTTTGTTTTATGGTAAAAGGTAGAAGGAAAAAAAAATCTATCATTTTCTCCCTGTACTTCTTATTGATTTTTAAATTGAAAGTAGTAGATGCTTTTAGTAGGAACATTCAAATGATAGAGGAAAGTATATATTTACTTCCTTTCTCACCCAATTACTCTCTCCCTAGCAGACACCTCTAATTATTTATTAGGTGTCCTTTCAGATAACGAGTAGGCTTTATGCTACCATATCTTTCTTTTTACAAAGTAACATAAACCAGATTATAGTATATTCTCTTCCATACTTCAATATCTTCACTTTAATAATATATCTTGGGGACCAGCAATTATTATAATGGCTATATTGCTGGACTCCCATGTAGTAAACCGCGGTTCGAGTCCCGGACCCGGTGGCTTAAACTCACGCCAGGTGCGTGTGCGTGAATGCCCAAGATCCCAAGAGGAGAATGGAGGAGAAGGGATTGTGGCATGGCCACGCCCCCGGGGGGAATATCTCACTTTCTGTCTCTCTGTCTCTCTCTGTCTGTCTGGCGAGCGCATGTGCCCTATAGCAAAAACCTCTCCAAAGAAAGAAAATATATATATACCTTAAGTATATCTTCATACCAGCACATATACATCTACCGCATTCTTTTTATAAAGCGCCCTAGTATTCCATTTTATCAAGGAACCCTCATCTATTAACATTTGTTCAACTGTCCCTGATGGACATTTGCAACAATTTTTTTCTTCTGCTATTACAATGAATACCTTTCGGTGAATACTCTTTTACATTTTTCTTGACAGTATCATTCTCTCTTTATCTAAAATTTTGTTAGAGAGAGAAAGGGGGAAAGCAAGAAAGCAGCTCCCAATGGAACGTGGTCATACCACAATCCCTTCTCTATTTCTTCCTCTTTTTGGAATTCTGAGCTCACATGCGCACACGCCTACTATATTTTGCAAGCCACCAAGTCCGGGACTCAAACTGTGCAGTTGGTGACGTGGCTCCCATAATTACCAGGCCACGGGCCGCCCGACATTGCCTTTCATATGTATTCATAAGATAACTGGGGCCAATGCGTGCAACGGTGTAAGTCGTGCCTGCACGAGCTGCCTCTTCCTCTACGTGGACAACACTTACTTTGTAGACATTAAAACTTTAAATGCTTACCGTGATTATTTTCCGGTAGACAGATATAACATCTTTTGCCAAAGGGGGTCCTTTTGCTGATCACTATGGCCCTGGGTAAATCACTGTAAAAAGTACTGCTGAGTGAAAGGGCACACGCACGTGGACTTTTTCTTCCTCCTTTCCTCCCTTTCTTCTTTTCTTCCTTCCTTCTTTCTTTCCTCCTCTATAAGAGAGATGAGGGAGGAGGTTAATAGGGGATTGCCCCACCAGAGTCCTCCAGCCTCCAGCCAGCCAGCGTTGCAGGTACATGTGGGCATGCCTGGCAGATTCGCGCTGAGTATGCCTGGGCTTCTGGTGTGGCTCCAGGATTATGCAGTGACACTGTGACACCTGCGTCACTCTAACTCTGGCCTGCACCTAGACTTTTGTAGCTGTTGTTAACTTCCCCTCCAAAATGGTTGTACCAAGAGATGTAGGTTTTGATAGTGCTTGATTTCTAAGGTCTAACTTCCTGTGTTGTTCTGAGTTGTGGTCGACTTTGACTTGAGGTTATAAGAAAGTGAGAACAGGAATTGCTAAATGCTATAAGAAATGAAGTTTCCCAATGGAGCAATCAGGTGATTTCATGTTACCTTCTAGGGACAAACTAACATGAAGTTCCTTGAAGGAATGGACACCAGCAGCAGAAGAAAGAAGCTGTTCTAATCCTAGGTACCTAAAACCTGCATGGTTGGTTCCTGAACATATTTGAAAGGTCTTCAAAAAGTTTATGGAAAAATGCATATTATTATTATTTTTTAAATCATGAATGTGGCCAGCAGAGGGCATGGAGGTAAAAGAAGTTGAATCTCACATAACTGACAATGTGGTCTGAGACCTGAACATGGTGGCTTGAAAAACACGTCAGGCATGTGTGAATGTATACCCAGAATATGGAAAGGAGAATGGAAAAGGGATTGTGGTGTGGCCAAAGAGGGATTTCTCACTCTCTCTCTCTCCTGCAAGTACATATGTCTTATGGCAAACTAAAAAAAAAGAAAAAAAGAAGAGCGTGAATTTAAAAGTTTTTGCACACAAACTTGTACTTGACTTCTACTTTTCCATGAATATTTTGAATTCTCCTTGTATGTGTTGCTAAAAATGTCTTGTCTTGGGTCAGCAGGTGGTGTGGAAGTTGAGGCGCAGACTCTCACTTGGCCAACTGTGTTGTTCAAGTTCTGGACCTGGTGACTTAAAAAACACGTGGGGTGCATATGCATGCGCGTGCGTGTGTGTGTGTGTGTGTGTGTGTGTGTGTGTGCCGAAAATCCCAAGAGGATACAAAAGGAGAAGGGATTGCGGTGTGACCATCCCTTGAGGGATGATGGCTCACTTTTCCTCTGTAGCTTTGTCTGTCTCTCTTTGTTAAGTATACATGCCCTATGGGGGGGAAAGTCTCTTCTTTTTCTTTGCTGGAGGAATTAAATGAACAATATTGGGAAGAGTACAGTCAGTAATGCTGTAATAAAGCGGTCGTGAAAGGCTAGTATTATAGGGTCAAATGAGGGCTCGTTGTTATGTCTGTTGTGTATACGGAAGAATGTTCTGCTATTAGGGTCTTCTTCAAGTTCTCAAGGAAGAGATATTTGACTGCATTTTTAACAACAACAGCACACGTTGTGAAGCACTTTGGACATGGGCTTATTGTCCTCGTGGTTAAGTTGTGTCTGACGTTGCTTTCATTGTCATAAAATGCCTATCCATTTGTCACTGTGGGACTCCACTACAGAGCAGTAGAAAGAAGAGCAAACAGAACACCGAGGCTATGATAGGTTTAACAGGAAGGGACACATGAAACAAGTGCCAAAAGAAGTGTAAGGGGCCAGCCGGGAGCACGGCAGAACTGAAACTCTGTGATGCTCAGTCTACACAGGGAGGTCTAGAGTTCACACCCAGAGACCTCCCTGTGCACGCTGGGTGTGTGTGTGCTTGCCCGTGATCCATCCTGGTGAGGCTGGGGGTGTGGATCGTGGCACAAAGACTCTGTTGGGCGTGCCTTCTCTCTCCTTAATGGAAGGAATAAATAAGCTTAACAAACAAACTTAACAGACAAAATTAAAACAAGGAAGGTGAGGGGAGAGAGAGAAGAAAAGAAGGTGAAAAAAAGGTAAACGGGATAGGAGGAAGGAAGACCAGGAAAATAAGAGTGTTTTGGGACGTTACAACACAGAGGAAATCTCACGCAGTCGCGTCTCCATTTGGCTTCTCATGGTACTGTCTAGTGATCTGATTCACTTTTGCCTTAAAGCATCGTGTAGCTTTTCCACTGGGCCCTTGTAGAAATAGGAAAAGGAATGTGAGAATCTTGAAAATTTGCAAAACTTCATGACTCATATTGACTTGCTAGCAGTTATCAGGGACAAATAACCTTTTTAAAAAAGTTTTATTATATATTTCTGTCTTGTGATAAAGTTCTAATCTATTCTATGTTTCGTCTTCAGGGACAAAATGCAACTTACTGCGCCTGCAAGCTTGCTTAAAGGACAGCATGTTCCTGGAATCAGTTACATTTGCTTTTGTTCAGGATGAACCAGAGGAAGAAGCCAGCTACTCCGCATTCCTGGTAGCGGAGCTCAGGTAAGAGCACAGATTCAGCTGCTTCTGTTCTGCAGGGAAGCGCAGCACAGTTGATTTGGTTGCTATAGATTTAGCTAATTGGGCTAAAAACGGTCATGGTAAGTTCTTGACTACCTTTTGGAAATTAGGGGTATGAGTGATGGTGTGTGGGTCACTAATGTCTCAGTAGAAAAAAGTGTTTAAGCTTGAATTTATTCTTTTTAAACTATTATTTGCATTATTTTATACTGCCTGTATTCCTGGGTCATATGTATTTGTTTCTTCAGCTGCTTCTGGGATAACTTTTCCTTCCATGTAATCTTTTCTTCTCATTTAGGACCACTTCGTTCCTTTTAAATGAAAAGCATCTCATGGGACCAGCAGTTAGCGTAATGGCTATGCTGCTGAACTCCCATGTAGTTAACTGTGGTTCGTGTCCCGGACCCGGTGGCTTAAAACTCAGGCCAGGCACGTGTGTGTGCGTGCCCAAGATCCTGAAAGGAGAATGGAAGAGAAGGGATTGCGGCGTGGCCAATCCCCTTCAGGGTGATTTCTCGCTTTCTGTCTTCCTGTCTCTCTCTGTCTGGCGAGCGCACACGCCCTATAGCAAAAAAAAAAAAAAAAAAAAAAGGCATCTCAGTGTGGCAGGGGGACCTTTACATGAGTTAATCTGACCTGGAAGTGTGCACACATCTTTGCTCATGCAGATGTACTAAGTGATGGAAGAACCTACCTCCGACCAGGCAGTGGCATGGTAATTTAAGGCAGCTGTACCCCATATGGCTGACTGCTCAGTTCAAGTCCTGGACCTGGCAGCTTGAAGAACACAGCAGGCACATGTGTGTACATGCCCAAAGTCCCAAAAGGAGAAATGGAGAAGGGATGTGATGTGGCCATCCCCCATGGGGGGGTGGTTCTTTCTTACTTCCTCCAATCCCCACCCCCCATCTCTTTGGCAAGTACCCAAATCCTCTACCAAAAATTAAAAAACAAAAAAACTACCTCTAAACTCTTTTTTTTATAAATAGCAATGTATTTAATTTTATTAATTATTATTATTATTATTTAAAATTTGCTATAGGGCACGTGTGCTCACCAGAGAGAGAAAGAGAGAAAGTAAGCTGCCAGGGCCGGGATTTGAACCACGATCAACCATGTGAGAGTCCAACCATGCCACCTACTGATCCCTACCCCTAAATTCTTAAGCTCAGCATTACTCCCTGCGTTTTTAAGCATGTGCAGCAAAAAGTCAGCACTTTTCTTGACACACATGCCAACTCCACTGTTGTTGTGATGAAATAGCACACCCTGCTTTTGTAAAGCGACATCTTTCAGATACTGGGTGACTTTTTGGATACACATGCCTGGATGGCCTAGGCAGTTTTACGGATGTCCTTTTTAATTTAATTTTATTTTATTCATTACAGAAAGTGTGCACATGCATAGCATGGGGAGTAGGGAGAAAGAGAGAGAGAGAGAGAGAACCCTCAGCAGAGTCTCATCACGCTGCCCTCCCCCTTCCTCAGCCCTCCAGTTCCTCAGGATCATATGCCAGTGTGTTTTCAGGCCAACCAGGGACCTAAATCCATTGTTGGCCATGTCGCTTTTGGCCCCACAGTTCAGTTTTGTTACCAAATGTGCCGCCAGGCTGGGCAGTGCTGGTGTTTTTAAAGGGAACTTGAAGATTTGAACCTGTTGATTTGCAAGACTTTGTGAAGTTTCTGGGTCAAGGGCGTAGAGAACCTTTTCAGAGATCTCCTCAGGCCAAGAGGCTTGGATTCCTTGGACAAGTTCTTGTGTCCTGGTACGACAATGACCGCTGAGTAACAAAGTCAGGAAGACGGAAGGTCACACAGCCAGATGGCAGGTTGGACAAGAAAACTGCGGACAGCGGCTTTCTGTTCACAGGTTTGTAGGGGTGCACCTGAAGACCTTGGAAAGCAAGGCCACAGGGGCTCCTGTCTCCTTGTGCCAGGGCGTATTTGAAGCTGAAGATAACCCTGGAGCTTATTCCTGCAGTATCTATTTTATTCAAAGATTTGAAGCAAAAAGTCTCTGTTTTTATATTAAAACAAACACACATGTAGATTAGTAGGACACAGCATGGTAGGGAGATTGGGAAGAACCTCCCAAGGATGTCCATGGGCCACAGACACGCCTGCCACCAGTACAGGAGTATTGTGGGAGCATGTGGGAAACACAAGGCTCCGTGGCTCAACCCGGCCATCCCTGCCTTCAGGGCCTCCATACTCGAGCACCTTTCTCCTCCATCTCTCCGGAGTGCCCTGTTTCTGCTAAGGCAGATGCTGATGCACCCTCCTTTCCAAAGCGTTTCCTCAGTGACTGCCTTTTGACTCCCACAGCTAGTTACCAGCTCCTCTCTCTGGCACTTACCAAGTCCTTGCTTGAGATATGGATGCATAGGTCCCAGTCATGGGTCCTCTGTGGGTCCTTCTCCATGAGGGTCCTGGCTGAGCGTTGGCCCCACCTGCTGAGCACTCTGCCCCATTGGGAGCGGGATCTCAATGATCATGTAAAGAGTGAAGAATGAGGGCTGGCCCTGGAGCACTGCAGTGAAGTCTTCTGTGTTGGGAGCTGGATCCTGCATGGCTACCCATGGTTGGAATCCCAGTCCCACAGTTGGAAAAAAACACACCAAGTGCATGTCTCTGTGTGTCCCAAATACTGAAGGGATGGAGAAATGGAAGAGAACCAGTTGTGACATAACTATGCCACACTGTTTTTGTTTGTTTGTTTATTTTCTTTCTCTCTGGTGAGCATATGTGCTCTCTGGCAATTAAGGGAAAAAAAATGAACGAGTGAGAAGATGGTATTGCCAGTCTGTGGCCAAGGAGGCAACTGATTTTGCTTCTAGTTTTTCTTTTGAGAGATTTTTGCCATAGGGTGCATGTGCTTGCCAGAGAGACAGAAAGTGAGAAATCAACCCCTGGGGGAAACGGCCATGCCACAATTCCGTCTCCTTCATTCTCCTCTCGGGATTTTAGGCACGCGCACACATGTGCCCGGCATGAGTTTCAAACCATGTTGTGTCTGGGACTTAAACCACAGTTGGCCATGTGGGAGTCTAGTACCTTAACCGCTACGCCATCCACTGGCCCCAGTTTTACTTCTTTTTGAAAGTGAAACTCAAGCATTTGGCCTAGCTTGCGAGTATTTCCCGAAAGGAGAGGAGAGAGAGGAAACCAAGGTCCCTCCCTTTTAGACGAGTTTCTGATGAGAGAAGGCACACTGACGTGAGCAGGTGCCCTGACAGTCCTGAGGCTCCAGAGAAACCACCATTCATCCTTCCGTCCTAAGTCTGAACAGCAAGTGAGTTGCTGATTGATTTAGTTGTGTCTGTTGCCCTATTCATCAGGCCTCTTTTAATTACCCTCTTTGATTTTTCCAGTTGCATCAGCCCCAACGTACTTCTGACAATAAGGAAATGTTAATTGGGAATGGAAATAGAAATCATTAAGCAATTATATTAAATAATTACGGTGTGTTATGTTAAGGACATCATGTCACTGGTATATCAATATGTTGTAATCAAATGAACAAAGAAACTTCTCCTCTACTTCCCAGAAGAACTGAACACTGGCCTTAAACCTGCAAAAGTTGTCTCTGGAGTCATGCCCTCCTTTGGGTTCTTCCCATCTGTGCTGTGCCTGGGCCTCTCTGGGCCCAGTAACTGTGTCCATCTCCTTTGTGAGACATGTTTAATAGAGCTGATGGGACCAGCAGGTGGCATAATAGTTATGTCACTGGACTCCCACATGGCCCATTGTGGTTTGAGTCTCAGACCTAGGAGGCTTCAAATTCATGCCAAGCGCATGTCTGTGCCTGCCCAAAATCCGGAGAAGAGAATGGAGGAGAAGGGATAGCAGCATGGCCATCCCCCCCGGGGCATGATTTCTCTTCTGTCTCTCTTTCTCTTTCTGTCTCTATGGCAAGTGCAGGCATCCTATAGCAAAAATCTCTCTTAAAATAATAATAAAGCTGAGGTTAGACCACTGCAAGTATCAGAGAGGCTCCCAGTACTAACTCCAGATTTAGTCCTGGTTATTTTAATAATAATAATAATAATAATAAAGCTGAGGTTAGACCACTATACGCATCAGAGAGGCTAACAGTACTAACTCCAGATTTAGTCCTGGTTATTCTGCTGTTTTAAGTCAGATAGGAAAATATCTCTGCATTTTAGTTTTCCCATTTAGCCCTATTTTTTTTCTCTGTCAAATGTTTTAAAACCTGAATACACAGAAGCTTTAGACATAAGGCATCATTCGTAGGGGGCCTGCTGGGTTTCTATCCACGCAGTGGGAACCATTGCTTTCTGGCTCTCAAGTGAGCTTTCTGCAGAGTCCTGCAGCCTCAGTGTGGATCTCTCTCCTCTAATCTCCTCTGGTCCTCGTAGAACTTTATCTGCTTTTTGGTCAATTCTAAGCACTACTTGGATTCGCTCAGAACATGGATTATGTCTTTCCAAACCTTACTCTCATTCTTGGCAGATAATCCCCCACTGGCTTTCCTGAAAAGATTAAGGCTAATGTGGAGGAATTGAATTCACTCATTCCTCTCTTTTCTTGTTAATGATCTCCAGCTCTGTGGCACTCTCCCACTTTCAGACAAAGAAGTGCCCGCTCTCCCTCCTCACCAGGGCTACCCCTGTCCTGGGTGCCCTTGAGCCCTTCCTCCACATCTTCCTGTAACAGGACTGGGTGCCTCCCGTGACTCAGGGCTCCGTTGCAACGGCTTTCAAACAGGCCCAGGTTTTATTCTATTTTTAAAAGCGCACACACACACAAATCAAAATGCCTTTGCTTGCCCTCACTGCCGCATCTCCTCAGTTGCTTTCCTTTTGCAGCGAGACATCCCAGTTTCCTTTTTCCTCATAGCTCGTAGTTTTGCAACCTAGTTTCCTATGTCGTCCCTATAGAAATCACACCCTCAGAAGTCCATAGTGGTACCTTTGTAGCGCAATCCACGGCAGTGTTTTGTTTAGTGTTTAGATAGTTGTGTAATCGCTCCTGCCTCAGCCCCATGGGTAGCTAGGACTACGGGTACCTCCCACTGTGTCCTGCTTTCACGGTGGGCCAGGCCCACTCTCTCATGTGGCCTCAGACTACCAAGTAGCAGGGTCAGCCAGTGCATGCTCCTGTGCTGGTCCATTCGCCTCAAATTTTCTCAGGAGCATTGATTTTCTTTCCCTCCAGTCTTCTGCACCCCCCTGTCCCCGACATATTTCTCTGGTTTATGTGTCCACCTTTCTCTTAACCGCGTTTTCCAACCTGGTCCACTGTATGCATCATGGCTAAGAGTCCACGCTCTGACATGAGCCTGTCTGTGGTTGAATTTCAACTGCCTCTAATTCATGACAAGACCTTTGGCCAAGTAACCTCTCCGTGCCTCAGTTTCCCCAACCTTAAAATGAGGATTATAGTGGGACTAGCAGTTAGCGTAATGGCTATGTCACTGAACTTCCATGTAGCTGACCACGATTCGAGTCCCAGACCTGGTGGCTTAAACTCACACTGGGCGCGTGTGCGTGCGTGTCCAAGATCCCGAGAGGAGAATGGAGGAGAAGTGACTGTGATGTGGCAATCCCCCCTGGGGGGTGATTTCTCGCTTTCTTCCTCTCTGTCTCTCTCTGTCTTTCTGGCGTGCACACGTGCCCTATAACAAAAACCTCTCCAATAAATAAATAAATAAATAAGGCCAGGAACGTATTTTTTTAAAAAATGAGAATTATAGTAATTTGTAAGAATCGAACGAGATAGCCTATGTACTATTTGCCCCAATTTGGCATATGAAAATACCTATTAGATGTTCTCTAACTATTGGTTTCTTTCTGGAGTGATGAAAATGTTCTGGAATCACATAGTGGTGACAGCTCTACATTCTGAATGCATAAAAAGCCACTTAAATTTTACAACAATAAAATAGTGAATTTAATGTTATGTGAATTTTATCTCAATTAAAAATATATGCTAAACTATCTATTAACATAGCAATAAGCTCCTAGATCTTTGAAAATGTGCTGGTTTCTTCTTTTAGGACATTTACTTACACTATCCCACACAGAGGCAGACGATACATAGTTATTGATAAATGGATTTATTCATGTGGTTTGAGAGTCCAGGGAAGAAAGAATGATGGAGAGAGGAAGCTTCCTAAATTTTGCAGGTGTTCTGACATCCAACTTTTAATTTTGTTTCCTTTTTACCAATAAATCATTTAAATTGTCTCCAGAGCTCACATCACTCATTTCAGGACGTAGGGTGTTGGAACGGGAAGGGGCGTCACCGGTGAAAGCTCTAGATGTTGGTGCATCCATTAGTCACAGTGAGACTGCCTGGCATGGACAGAGTCCCATCCTTAGATTAAAAGCAGCTCTAACCGGATTATGTAAAGCGGGACAGCACAGGGGCGGGCTCCGTGCAGACGCCGCCTGGAGGTCTTCCATTAATACATGCCGCCATCTAGTGGCAGCGCGTGGGAACGACGCTGGGCTGGGCCGTTTCGTTTGGTGCAACGACGAATGTCCGCGGAATTGCAGTCCTTTCTGTAGGAAGTGTGAGTGAGAGTGGATACAAGGCAGAAATACGGGGGAGCCCAGGAAGAGGAGAAGGAAAACCCCTCAGCACAGGGTGGGGACGCAAAGGACACAAGTGGTGCTTGTGCCCGCCTTCCACAACCTTGTCTGCATCATTCCAGGGCAATTCCCTCCCCCACTCCAACACTAAACTTTGTGGGTTCCCCCCATGTAAGTCTCACTTTCCAACACTCTGTGCTGACCCCTTATGCTGAACTTCGAATCCCCCTTCTTCTATGTAGGAGTTCAAGGCTGGGAAGGTTTAGCTGAGTCATCACATTTGGCCACCACCCGGAGTCCTGGGCGAAGTCTTCAGCCCAGTGCCACCCACAGCAGTTCATCACGTGACCGCCACCCGCAGGAGCCACAGGTAAGGGCAACCGCAGGCCTGGGCAGCTCAGACTGCAGCGGGGGAAGCCCACGGTCCAGGTGGGCCCCCCAATCCTTCCTGGAACCTCGTGGTCACTGGTGCCAGGGGGAGTTGAATCCTGTCTAAGGGTGCAGCTCTCTGGTGATGTTCTCTTGGGGCAACTTGAATGGGCAGTGTTGACCTTGATGCTGATCCCCCCCACACACACACAAGCTATGTTAATGACTAGATTAATTATAGATTGTTAGGGATATTTATAAAGCAAAGAGCTTTAGGATGGGAGGGGCTGAAGGGGAGGTATTGATGCTTCCCTCCGAAGTCTGGCCACATAGTCTGGAGGCTTGTAACAGAGTGATTAAAAGTGTGGATTTGGGGGCCAGTGGGTAATGTGGAGGTTAAGGCTGCTGGATCCCACCCAGCCAATTCTGAGTCACAGACTCCATGGCTTGGAAAAATATGCTGGGTGTATGTGCATGCGTGCCCAAAATCCCAAGAGGAGAACGAAGGAGAAGGGTTTGCAGCATGGCCATCCCCCGCTAGGAGGTGATCTCTCACTTTCTCTATCTCATTCTCTCTCTCTCTGGTGAGTGCATGCACCCTATTGCGACATTTTTTTTTTAAAGCATGGATTTAGGAGTCTTGAGTATTTGACTTTGAGAGAGTTATTTAACATTACTTTAAGTTGCAGTTTCTCATTCTCTAAAATGAGGACGATTAAACCTACCTCTCAAGATTATTGTGAGGATTAAAGGAAATACAGTAAAAACTGTTAATTTCAGAGATTGAGACTGGGTTTTATTTTATTTTATTTATTTTTTTAAAATATTTTTTAGAATTATTTTATTCAATTTCATTCATTCAGTCATTTATTTTAATTTGACCAGACACACACACACACACACACACACACACACACACAGAGGAAAGTGAGAAAGCAAGACACCAGGTCCAGGACTTGAACCATGGTCGGCCATGTAGGAGTGTCCAGCACCTTAACCACCACGCCACCTGCCGGTCCCCGAGACTGGGTTTTAGAGAGTTAATGGAGAAGTTGACTAGAGCAGGGCATCATAAAAGATGAGAGATACCTCGAATATTTTATTTTAAAATATAGAATTTCTTGGGCTGGCCTCAGAGCCTAGTGGTTAGGGGCAGGGGAAAGATCACATGGCCAAAATGGTTCGAATCCTGGCCCCGGAGGCCTGAACAATGTACTGGCACGTGTGCATGTGTGCCTCAACCCCCAACAGGATGGAGTGATGGAGGAAGGGAGTGTGGCATGGCCATGCCTAATTAGGGGTGCTTTCTCCCTCTCTGTCTCTCTCTGGCAAGTGCATGTGCCTTCTAGCAAGTTAAAAAATATATAGATAATGGAGAGTCATGACCTTTTCTTTGACTGTACATCCACTGGTTGGTGTTTTTTGAGTTGTCTGTCTCACACTAAATCACATGCAAAATATTTTAATTTTGAGTTCTAGTTTGGTTTTCTTTAAATGTAGCAAGAACTTAAAGAAACTTGGGAAGCCACTTGTAAAGTCACTTTCTACAGAAATGTCCAATTCCCCAAATTACTCCTGATTATTGAGAGTTTTGCCAAACTTTTACTCTCCACACTTAATTAGCAAGCACCTTTTTTTTTTTTTGAGTTTTGCACATGCAATTGCTAGAGAGATGGAAAGAGAGAAAGTGAGAAATCATCCCCCAAGGGAGATGGCCATGTCACAATCCCTTCTCCTTCACTCCTCCATAGGATTTTGGGTACATATGCACACACACCTGGTATTAGTTTCAAGCCTCCGGGTCTGGGATTTGATTCATAGTTGACAATGTAGGAGTCCAGAACCTTAACCATTACACCACCTGCTGGCCCCAACCAGCAGCTTTTTAGCAGCTTCCTGTCTTTCTAAAACAGTCAACCTTTACTTTCACAGCAGCAGCTTCCTTTCCTTGCTTACTCAGATTTAGCCAGCTTGTGTAGTATTTAATAACATTTCACAGTTACAGCAACAAATACAGCTGTTGTAAACTGGCTCTTGGTAAGCATACGGGACGGAGGAGCAGCGGGCACTGCTGCTGTCAACACCCACTGGTGAGCATCCTTAACAGAGGGCCTGCAGTGTCATGGGTAACCTGACAAGCTGGTTAAGCGGAGCAGAGCAAGACCAGCTTCTCCTGCCCTGCATATAAAGTGCTTCCTTAGGGCCCATCGTACCAAAATATCCAGTGGATGGTAGGTATTATCTTGCTCATGAATAAGTTCAGCATCGGAAGGATTCTCAGAAATCTAACCGTTCATCCTCTTATTTTATAAATAAGATGAAAGTATTTTGTAATGTTGACCTTCCTAGTATAGATATTTTTTAAAGAATTATTTATTTAACTTTATGTATTTATTTATTTATTTTTATTTCACCAGAGAGGAAAAGAGAGAGAGAAAGAGAGAGAGAGAAAGTGAGAAAGCAAGCCTCTAGATCTGGGACTCGAACCACAGCCTGCCATGTGGGAGTCCAGTGCCTCCAGCCACCATGCCACCTGCCGGCCTCCCTCATATAGCTTTTGGCCTCAATAAGTAAAAGGATTATTGACCATAAACCTCATATTCTGAATCAGAAGGACTGGTGTTTGCAGAAGCATCTGGGAATCAGCAGAACGCATAAAACGGTCTTCTGCCCGAACTCCATGTCTTTGTGGTAAGGCTGGGTGAAGCCACACGTGGTGATGACAGACTCCAGGGTCTTGGGGAAGGTGAGACCTCCTGTGTGTGTTGGGGGGCAGGGCTGAGGACTGGGCACACACACTCAGGAGGCACTTCCCAAATGAGGAAGAATTTGATGAACAATGTGTACAGGGACGAATGAAGCGATAAGCAGAGCCAGGCCTTGGGCTTTAGGCAACCAGGTGACCCTCTGGCCTTGGTCACACTAGGCTGGGCACCTGGGATGATCGTAGAAACCCACCAGAAATACCTGACTCATGGGCTGTTTGGGGGCAGTGCGTTGGGACAAGGGTCTTTGAAGCTATGTGCTGTTTATTTGTTGTGTGTTTAAAACATTCTTCTCTGAGATCCCGTGTTGCAACAAATGGAAATTACCCTTTTGTTCTGACCGGACTGGGTGTGAAGGACTGCCATGTGGGACGGAGAGTGGAAGAGGCTGCCCATGGCAAAGAGGGCGCGTGGGCGGGGCAAGTCCTTTAAGAAGCCGCAAGTTCAGAGACACGAAGCTCTGGATGAAGGGCTTTGCAACCCTGATTTAACTCCTAGCTTGTTTCATTTTTTAAAGGAAAATTTTAGTTTAAGGATAATATCCTAAAGGTGCCAACAGGTGGTGTGGTGGTGAAGGTGCTGGACTCCCAAATGACTGACCATGGTTCAAGTCCTGGACCTGGTGGCTTGAAAATCATGCCAGTTGCATGTGTGCATGCCCAAAACCCCTAGAGGAGAATGGAGAAGAGATTGCAGCATGGCCGTACTCCCCCAGGGTGGAGTGGGGTGGGCGGGAGTTCTCATTTTCCCTCTCTCCGTCTTTTTGGTAAGCGCACACATTCTATAGCAAAAATTTCTCTCTCTCTCTCTCTCAAAGAAAGAAAGAAAAATAGCATCCTAGAGGGGCCAGCAAGTGGCATGTTGGTTAAAGTGCTGGACTCCCACATGCACAACCAACAGTTTGAGTCCCAGATTTGGTGGCTCGAAAATCACACCAGGCGTGTATGCTTACATGCCCAAAATCCTGAGAAGAGAATGGAGGAGAAGGGATTGTGGCATGACCATCCCCCTGGAGGGTGATTTCTCACTTTTTCTGTCTCTCTTCGGCAAGTGCATGCACCCTAAGGAAAAAAAAAATACTAAAAACAAAAAAGGAATAGCATCTTACAAAAGTACACAGATCATACACTTGCAGCTTGATGCGATTTTAATTTTATATTGAAAGGGACATTCAATGTACTTGACAAACACATGCTGCAAATCCCTCATTCTCTGCAAAGACATGGATGTACTTCCCCAACCCACCCCAGGGCCCCAGCTCCTCCTCTGACTTCCAGGCTCTCTCCTGATATATGGCCTCCGTGGAGTGGGGTGTGCCCATTCTGGGATTGTTTCACTTGCAGGGAACAGGTTCTTTCATACCAGTGTGTAGCATCGCCGGGCACCTTGTGTAAAAGGTGCATCGCTCAGGCCTGACACTCCCTGAGCTGCTGATCCTGTCATTCTGCAATAGGCCTGCAGTTTGTAACAAGCACCCTGGGGAGTCTGACCTAGCACCCCAAGTTTATAACAAGCACCCCAGCCAACATGTGAGAAACACTTTGCTTTTCCTGCACCAGAGATCAAGATGAGCCCTGGGGACCTGTGAGATTATCTCCTGAGGGGAAGATGGGGAGGGAAGGGTTTTCTAGAAGAGACAAGGAGCTCGAGGTAGAACCCCTCTAACGACATGCTGGATCTGCTGCACAGAGCAGCTCAACCCTCATTTGCTCTGCCCTGCTTGGAAGCCTTCTGTGGCCTTCAGTCCTTGACATGCTCAGTTTCTGAAGCTGGGAGCGGCCTCAGACTGCTGGAACCCTTAGCTGCTGTGCTAATCTTATAAGAGAAGTTGAGCATGTCCAGGGAGCAGTTTGTTTTCCTTCCCAGTGGAGAGAAGCTAACTTCTGGTGTGATTTTCTTATGCCTTGAAACAGAGGCACCAGCTGTTTATAATGAGGCCTGTCCCTCCATGGCCATGGCCCCCGGCTTGAGGGAGTTTGACTTCTTTTCAGCTGCTCTGATAGTATCCATTGCCAGGCGCCTGTCAGCCCTGATCCGGAATGTGCAGCCTGAGGCGTGGCAGGTTCTAGTAAAACGTAAGGCTAGCCCTGCAGTGCGGAGGTTAAGCACGTGGACTGGATCCTCCCTGAGTACTCGGGGCAAGTGTGTGTCTATGAGTGGGGCTGGCTAAAGGCTGGGGATGGATTGTAGCATCAGGACCCTCTTGGGAGTGCGGGCCCTTTCTCTCTCTGTCTCTCTTGTTCATGGAAGAAACAAATGAACGTATATACAAACGGAAGAATGAATGAATGAATAAGTAAATAAATAAAACTTGAGGCAGCTTCAGAAGAGCATTTGTGGTTCACATGGTGGTTTTGTGTTTTTTAGTTCCATGGACCAAAGATGGAAGAGAATCCTGGGCCAGCCCCTTGCCACCCCTACTTCCCAGCCTAAGAAGAAACGGACATCAATGGTATCTCTGTTTTCCAAGGTCAGACACAAAATATTATGAACACCCGTCCTTCTGCAGGGCTATTTTATAAGCTATGTGCTTGCCTGGTCCACGGTTAGTTGGGCCTGCTCTACTGAAGTGACTTTTGAAAAAAATTTACGACCTGGGTTGGTTGTTTATAGGGAGATAAAAAGATGAGTTCAGGGCCCAGCAGGTTGCATAGTGGCTAAGGCATTGGACTCCCATGTGGCTGACCGCAGTTTGAGTCCTGGACCTGGCAGCTTGAAACTCACGCTGGGCATGTGTGCATGTGTGCCCAAGATCCTGAGAGAATGGAGGAGGGGGGATTGTGGCATGGCCACACCACTAGGCAGTGATTTCTCATCTTCTGCCTCTCTGTTTCTCCAGCAAGCACACATGCCTTACAGCAAAAATCTCTGGGGGTGGGGGCAAGAAAGTGAGTTGAGAGAGTTTAACCTTCTGTTAACTCCATAGTAAAAACAGAGAATAAACTGCAATAAGACTTAGAAATGACCAAACTTCAGGATTGGCAGGTGGCGTGGTGATTAAGGTACTGGACGCCCATGTGGCCGACCATGGCTTGAAACCTAGTAGCTTACTTTCTCACTTTTCCTCTCTCTCTCTCTGTCCCTCTGGTCAAATTAAAATAATAATAATAAATTAAATAATAATAATAATAAAATAAATTATCAAATGTCATCAATATTGCTATGAAGACAACCAGATCTGGTTCTGGTCTCCTTCCACTTCCCTTACTAAGACAGTGGGTAGAAGGCTTTGTCCTCGTTCTTGATCTTTTCTTTTTTTAAAGATTTTTTAATTTTATTTTATTTGTTATTATTATTTTTTAATTTGCTACAGGACATATGCACTCACCAGAGAGGGACAGAAAGAGAGAGAGAGAGAGAGAGAGAGAGAGAGAGGGAGGGAGGGAAAATGAGAAAGCATGCCTCCAGTTCCAGGACTCAAACCTCTGTCAGTCATGTGGGTGTCCAGCACCTCAACCCCCACGCCACCTGCTGGCCCCTGTCCTTGATCTTTTCTGACTCTTCTATTGTTTTGGTTCTGCCTCTGGTCCACACCGCCATGTTGTGTCCTGCGGAACATCAGGGTCTTCCTGGCCTCAGAAGCTCGTGTGCTCCCTAGGGACAGTGGTCTGTCTCCTGCCTGGTCTCTTGCCCTGCAGTTATTTAGTTTAATCCTTGAAGTGCATGTTTCCGCATCAGACACAGTATTTCCCGACTTGCGTTATTTATGTATTTTTTAATTGCTCTGTCGCATACGTTCTGGAGTTGGGACTGCCTTCAAATGCCCTGAAATGTTCGCAGAGGCGCACAAGATATTTGGAGATGTGCTTACTCGTTGTGTCAGATGCTGTGGGAGGTCAAATAACTACTGGGAACTGGCACTTGGAATTAGCTGTGAAGTGGGGTACGGGCCGGGGAACATCTGTCCTTGCAGAGGGCTCAGGAGAGAGTGAGAGGAGCTGGAGAAACCAGCGCAGACACGTTTCTCAAGGCGTTCGGCTCCGAGATAGAGCAGAACACTGGGGAGGAGGGGAGGAGGACGAAGGCTAAACAAAGCTCTCCTCTTCCGGATGGGAGGAGCAACAGCGTACCTTCTACTGTGAAAGGGTCTCTATTCTCAGCTCCCATCACCGTTTGCCATGTCCTTCTCAATTGCTGCCACACTCGGGTGCTACACTAGCTCTCGGCAGAATTCCCCCAAACCCACCTCAGCACCAGCCCTTCAATATTTGTCCTCCCCCCTTTCTTATTCCTTCATCAATTTCTTCATTAGGTAGATCAAAGTAGTGATAGCATATTTCCTTGGGACCTGCAGATGGTGTAATGGTTATGTCTCTGGACTCCCATATGGCCAACCACGGTTCTAGTCCTGGATCCAGTGGCTTGAAACTTGTGCCAGGCACATGTACATGTGTGTGCCCAAAATCCTGAGAGGAGAATGGGGAAGGGCATTGCTGCGTGCCCTATAGCAAAGATCTCTATAAATAAATAAATAAATAAATAAATAAAATGTTTCCAACAAAACCAGGCATCTGTAGTTGAAAAGAAAGAAATAGAATTGAGCAGGCACTCATGAGGTTTTCTTTAGAGAAAAGGGTTGGGTTTGGGCAGGACTGGGTGTGACTCGGAACACTCCTGTATTAACACATTTTTGACTTACCACCCAGATCTCTTGGAAACTGAGGACCCAGAAGCGGGAGCCTATGAAGAATGTGTTTTTCATCTTGGCAGAAAGAGCCCGGGACCCCAGTGCTAAAAAGCGCCACATGGCAATGAGAGGCCTGGGGACCATGGCCTGTGAAGCCCCAGACAAGGTAGGAGAGGGAGGGGGAGCTCAGCCAGCCTTCCCAGCCCTCTGCAGCCCTCATAGCACGGAGAGCACGGAGCCCCTGTCTCCAGTGCTGAGCTGTGGCATCTCGTGTATGGTTATTGCGTGGAGTGCCCATCACCAGGGCCAAGCAGTGGCATCTCACATACTGCTTCTCTGTTGCTGTGTAAGAGAGCACCTCAGGCTTAGCAGCTTGTCGGAGCAGCAATACATATTCACCATGTCAGTTGTCGTGAGCCAGGAGTGCAGGGATGGCTTAGCTGTCCTCTGTGCAGGATCTCCTGAGGCTGCCATTAAATGTCAGCCAGATTGCACTCTTTTGACAGCCAGGATCGTCTTCTGAGCTGACATTGTTGTTGGCAGAACTCAGTTCCTTCCAGTTGTAGGGCCAAAGTTACTGTTGTATTTCTGGCTACCTGTTGGGGTTACGCTCAGCCTCAAGAAGCCATTTTCTCACACATGGCAGCCTGTAACTTTCTTTATTTAAAATTTTTTTGAACATTTATTTATTTATCTATTTATGTATTGTGTTTCAAGCTGGCAGTCTAGGACTTGAACTACGGCCGGCCATGTGAGAATCCAGTGCTTTTACCAACCACCGTGCTGCCTGCTGACCTGGCAATCTGTTTCTTCAAGGCCAACAGGAGAGTCTGCTCAGATGTAGTTTTTTTTTTTTAAAGAGAAATTTTTGCTATAGGGTGCATGTGCTTGCCAGAGAGACAGAGAGATGGACAGAAAGAGATCACCCCCCCAGGGCAGATGGCCAGGCTGCAATCCCTTCTCCTCCAGTCTCCTCTCAGGATTTTGGGCACACACGTACTCGTGCCTGGCGTGTATTTGAAGCCACCAAGTTGGGGACTCTAACTGTGGTTGACCATGTGGGAGTCCAGTGACGTAAACATTATGCCATTTACTGGCCCCAGCATGTAGCCTTAAGTCATGTACAGTTACCACAGCAGTGACATCCTGTCACCTTCACCATTTCTTCTAGGCTGTAAGCAAGTCAGGTTCATTCCGCACTCCAGGGGACGAGCCTGTGCAGGGCATGACTCATTCCGGGCCATCCTGGGGTCTGTGCCTCAGTGTTACCAACCATGGCACACAGCTGTAGGCACACAACTAGACATCCCACTGGGAATGTAAGTGGCTTTCTAACAATCTACGCGTGTTCAGTAAAAGACATTTTCCCTTTGACCTCATTTGGCCTCTGCCAAGTTTCGTGCCATTTCATCCACCCCACTGTAAAGGAACCTCTGCTCCCCCAACTCCTAGACCGTCCCAGGCTATCACCACCCTTGACAAGTCCTACCCAAACTCATTGGCCCACAGGCCACACTGCAGGTGGGTTTTTCCTTCTCCTTCAAAGACTGAGTTGAGCTCTTGAGTTGGGTTAATAGAAGCTTTTGTGTATTTTTTAGGTTTATGCATTTATTTCTTCTTGGAGAGAGAGAGTCTCAACCCCACAATGAGAGCCCTGCACGGGGATCCACGCCTGGTCTCAGCCAGCCCAGATCATGGGCATGTGTGCACACCCAGCATGCTCAGGGATGTGCTGGGTCATGAACCCAAGACCTTCCCTATGTGTGTCCAGTTGTGTTCTCACTAAGCCACCGCCCGTCCCAAAGTGTTGGTGTTTTGATGAGAGTGTTGCAGCAGATCCTGAAGACAGCCAGGGTCTCTTAGTCCAAGTCCTCGGTTATTGGTTGATTGCTAGAGTCATTCCCATGGGAGCAATTATAGAATTGTTAATGCTTTTCAAACCTTAATATCAGGTGAGAAAGTATAAGAAAATCATCCTAGACCTGCTGGTGCATGGATTGTATGACCCTGTGAGCTCTGAAGTCATCCACGAAAGTATGAAGACTCTGACCATCATCCTGGGCAAGACCCAGGGGAAAGGTTTGGGCTCCTTCTTCGTAGACATCACTCTCCAGACAAGGACTTTATTAGATGATGTAAGTGAGACAACTCGGAGGTTTTGAAATCAAAGTGGGATTAGAAATGTCAGCCTCAGAGGCCAGCCAGGTTCAAGTCCCAGACCCAACAGTTTGGAAAACACACAGGGTATTTATGTGTGCATGCCCAAAATTTTGGGAGGAGAAATGGAGGAGAGGGGATTGTGCTGAGGCCTCTCCCCTTGAGCTGTCTGAGGAATACACACAAAATGTGTAACGTTTTAAAAGTTCATTTATTTACTTCTGTATTTATATTAATGAGTCAGAACGTGTGTGTGTGTATGAGAGAGAGAAATCTGTTCTTGACAGGGTCTTGTCATGCCACAACCTCCTTCCTTCAGCCCTCCAGCTTGTCAGGATCTTGGACATGCATGTACCTAGCATGTTTTCAGATTGATCTGGGATCCAAACCCATGGTCAGCACACACAGTTCAGTATGCTACCCTCAGGTAGCTGGGTCAAAACTTGTAACTTCTCTAGCTTGTGGGGAGGAAAATTTGCTGGCAGGTGGAGAGGAGTACAAAGGAGACTTGCTTTTTCTGTAAGTCTCTTTCGGTTATTTTCCATGTTGAACATATAAATGTATTCTGTCTCCAAAACATGAAATACTGAAAGAAAAAGTGGGAGACAGGGAGTAGTGTTCGTGATCCCCCAGGGGTCTCCTCTTGCCCCCTGGAGAAGAGGTTCCTGGAAGGCCTCAGCCCCTCGCCACTTGGTCTCCCACCCACCCGGCTCAGTGCTTTAGCCGGGATCTGGTGGCTCCCCCTGTACCGACATTCAAGGACGATGTTGGGATGTGGTCTGATGAAGTTCCCTCTTGGGAGTAACCAGGCTTTGTTGCTGTTTTGTTAACGGGATCCCACAGGAGAATGACAGTCTGAGATTCTCAGCCTTTGTTTTGTTTGGGCAATTGGCTGCCTTTGCCGGACGGAAGTGGAAGAAATTTTTCACCAGTCAGGTCAAACAGACCAGAGATTCTCTCCTGATCCACCTACAGGATAGAAACCCCCAGGTTGCCAAGGTAAGAGTGTGATCTCAACCACCTGCATGAAACCTTACCGTGCTGTACCTGAAGGGAGCTGGGATGCTGCCCCGTGGAGTTGAGAGGTCCAGCCCTGGGCTTCCCCACAGTGCCATTTGGATACTTGGCAGTGTATCCGCGTGGTCCTGGAAAAGGTGCTGCCTCGCTGCGTTGTCTCTCTGAGCAAGTGTGTCGTTTCCATTCACCCCTGGCCGATCCAAGAGCCTGTCAAAGCTCAATAAGCTCAGGCTGATGGAGGGTGAGGACGGCAGACACAGGTTTAATCAGTCGGCAGCAGCCCACGAATGAGGGTAGTTACTCATGCCCAGTTGACTTTCGTCACTGCATCCGGTAGAGATTTCCCAGCCCTGGCTTCTCAATGACCTGTAGAACTATGGTTTATTCTTGGAGAAACTGTGTCCTAACAGAGTTGGATAAATTCAGGCGTATTTTGGAGTGGGACTAGATGAACATTCCCAAACCACTGGGAATGAAGGGTTTTAAATCCTTTGTCTTCCTTAAGTCAGGGAGAGGGTTAATGTAAGAAGTCAGTACTTTGAAAAATTGTATCCATGTTAGTGATGACATGTATGTGCATGCAAAAGAGAAAATAAGAGAGAGAAGTACCTTTGCTAGGGTCTTGTCATGCTGCAGTCCCTTTGTCCTAGCCTTCCAGCTAGTCAGGGTTCCAGGCACACACATGCACTGGTATGTTCCAGGTTGGCCGGACTAAGGATTTGAACCAGTGGTTGGCCATTTGGCTTCCAGCACTGCAGTACAGTACTCTACTGAAAGTGCCATGGAGGCTGGACTAAATTCAGTCCTACTTCTGATGGGACAGTAAAAGGGCATGGTAAACTATGAAGCTGTGCTTTTCCTTCTAGCCCCCAGATTACAGACATGGCTATTTTATAAGTGTACATCCTTTTGAGAGTTACTCTTTGCAGTCCCTGACCACAGATTGGGTGCAGTCCTCTGAGATAAACTTTCTTTCTTGGGATTATAGAACTCTCTTGCACTTTTGGGGACCAGCAGTTGTCATAATGGCTATGTTGCTGGACTCTCACGTAGTCTACCGAAGTTTGAGTCCCAGGTCCGGTGGCTTAAACTCACACCAGGCTTATGTGCATGTGTGCCCAAGATCCCGAGAGGAGAATGGAGGAGAAGGGATTGCGGTGTGGCCATCCCCTCTGGGGGGTGATTTCTCGCTTTCTGTCTCTCTGTCTTTCTGGTGAGCACATGAGCCCTATAGCAAAAACTTCCCCCCCCACACACAAAAAGAACTCTTGCACTTTAGTGAATAAGATGGTATAGTTAGCCCTCTGTAGTGGCGGGTTCCACATTTGGAGACTCAGCCAACTTGGATTGAAACTATTTGAAAAACAAGAACACAGTTTAAAAAATACAGTAATAAAAAAAGAATATAAATATAAAAACAGTGTAACAAGTGCTTACATAGCATTTACATTGTATTAGGTATTAAACGTAAGCCGGTGATGATTTACAGTATAGGGGAATGTGTGTAGGTTCTCTGCCGTTTTATACAAGGGGCTCGAATGGATCTTGATACCTGGGGAGAGGGGTCCAGTAATCAATCACTTGTTAATACCAAGGAACAACTGTAATATTATTTTTTTCAGGCTTGCAAAACAACTTTTCGAGCCTGTTCTCCATATCTGAAACTAAGGAAGGAATACAACTTCCAGGTTGAAGATGATCAAAGGAATCCTAAACTCTACCGGCAGCTGGTGAGTGAGCCAGGATCAGAGAGAATTCACTTAGGGTCCATGCCCTCCTGCTGTTTAACATGGAATGTGGCCAAGCACACCAGAGAGTTGCACCCCGAAAAATGACAGGACTCAGGCAAATTATGTTTCCTTTAAAAAAAATTATTTATTTATTAATGTATCCTCCATGAATGAGAGACAGAGAGAAATAAGAGAGACAGACACCACACTCTACAGGGTCTCAGTGCTGCGATCCACTCCCAGCTTCAACCAGCCCCCGATCATGGGCATGCATGTGTTTGCATATCCCAGGGAGGCCTCTAGATTTGTACCCAGACCCTTGCCAGGTAGATCAACCTCAAAGTGTCATGTTTATTGCTGCACCACTCTTTGGCCCCCAAGCCAATTATATTGTAATTGTAATTGACCTATAATGCCTGGAGGATAGCGCACCATACATTGGCAGCTCCAGTCCAGGTCATCAGCAGAATGCAGCGATGAAGCCGCCACCGCCTAGTATCCGAGTGCTTTGGTGCTTGCTATCCTCATGCTTGGCATTGAAGACTGTCTACCAGTTCTGCAGGCAAGGAAGTTGGCTGGATTCCTCCCTCATGGGTACCTCTGTTAAATTTCTTTCAGAGCCACTATCATCCAGAGCTCCTGCAATTCTTCTATGCAAATAAAATTCTGTAAACAGAACTGCAGGGAAATGGTCCCACCTGAGTGCATTGCTGGGCGCCTCGGTTCCCCAGGTTTTCTCCCATTGGATACTTCTGCTGCCTCTTGTGATTGTCATTAAAAAATGATGTTAGGAGAGCAGTCAACGGCAGAAATAATGCTACGGAACTGTAGAGATATAGCCGAAGCAAAATTCGAAATTGCTTTCCTATATTGCATTTTCTCCCCATTCAAATTTGGTGAAAAGGTACACATGTTCTTTAAAACACTTAAATATATGTAAATTCACTGCTTACCTCTCAGGGTTTTTTTTTTTTTCCTTTTAAAGCTCACCTTTGTCAGCTTTTATTTTTAATATTTATCTTCTGAGAATTAGGACAATAACCGTTGCCTTAAGTGTTTTTATATTAATGTACTAGTTATTGATACTTTGTCATTCACTAATAATAACTTTTTCTGCCAAGACTTATTTAAAGTTGGCCAAGATACCAGGAAGGTGGCTTACAGAGGTATCTTTAGCTTTTCATAATTTAAACAGTCGCTATCTCCTCCAAGAACATCCTAAACAAGAATTACTAAAGGGGGAAAAACCCAAAAGGTATGTGTTGACAGTCCTTAGACTCATAAGAATTTATGGAATAATAAAAGTAAAAAATATTTATTGAGAGTGTTTATATTTATCGGGCACTAAGTGCTTTGCAAATATTGTTTAATACAGCAACCCTCTGAGCTAGCTCATCTCATAGATGAGAAAACGCAGGCACAGGGAAATGAAGTAGCTTACCCAAGGTCAACTCAGTATATGATTGAGGCACGACTGAAAAAAAAAGTCTGACTTCTAGAGCCCACACTCAATTGTCATGTGATACGGCCTCTTCATGGAATAGTCAATGCATGATTAGAAATCTAAAAAATAAAACATACAAAACCTCCCCAGCTTCTGTGCTTCCCGTAATTCCAGTTAACTTTTGCTTTTATATGTACTAAGTATACATTTTTAAATTTCATTTTCCTGAGCAAAATATATATTTATTAATTGCTTCTTGGCTGCAATGCCAATTTGGGGGTGAGCAATCCTAGTTGTCAACAGTGTTGTATCATCTTATGAAAAGTTTCAAAAGGGGGCCAGCAGGTGGCGTAGTGCTTAAGGCGCTGGATTCCTGTGTGGTCGACTGCTGTTGAGTTCAGACCAGGTGGCTTGAAACTCAGGGGAGCACCTGTGCACTCCCAAAATCCCGAGAGAAGACTGGAGGAAAAGAGATTGCCGTGTGGCCATCCCCCTGAGGGTGATTTCTCAGTTTGTTTCTCTCAGTCTCTCTGGGGAGGACTTGCAGCCTATAGCAAAAAGAAAAACCTTTTTAAAAGGTTTCAGGAGAAATCGCAGTCCCTCTCCTTTTCCCTTCATTCGGGTTGCTTCCAGAGCTTGTCCTACAGACGTTGTAATGCCCCACTGACCTTGGCATCCCAGCCATGCCTGGGACATTGCGTCCAGTTTGGGAAAAGGAAAGATCACGGTGTATGGAAAACACGGAAGGGTCATAAAAGCTACAGAGTGATCTCAAATCACTGAGCTCATCATTCTGAGAATCAGGAACTCAGTTTTCTGCCCTGGCTCCCAGAGACAGGGCGGTGGAGCACAGATGAGGCCAGGAGCATCTCAGGAGAAGCAGGGACGTGGGAGATGGGAGAAGGGCAGCGGGCTCTAGGTGTGACTGGGTCTTTCTCCATATTTTGAAGCTGGAGTGCATGATAGTGGGAGTTCTCAGGAAGGACATGGGCTCAGGAGCAGGTGGGACGGCTTGAGCTCTGAGCCCCATGACTACTCGACGTTAGCCTGTTCGAGACTATGACACAAGTTTGGCTTAGAATCTGACATAGTTCTATGAAGTGATCAGTGAGTGTGGCTATGGAACAGTTGTATTCTGCTGGCATCAAGAAGTCAAGAGGAGGGACCAGCAGATGGTGAAATGGTTAGGTTGCTGGACTCCCACATGGTCTACCTCAGTTGAAGGCCCAGACCCAACAGCTTAAAACTCACATCGGGCACATGTGCATGCGTGCCCAAAATCCCAAGAAGAGAATGGAGGAGAAGGGATTGCAGCGTGGCCATCATCTGCCCTAGGGGGTGATTTCTTGCTTTCTGTCTCTGTGTCTCTCTGGTGAACACATGTACCCTATAGCAAAAATCTCTCTCTAAAAAAAAAAAAAGTCAAGGGGGAAGAGAAGTCAAATGAGTGACCTGCTCTACAATACAAAACTCTATGCAGTTAATGCCTTTTAATTGATTAAAATTGTGGATAACAGGGCCAGCCAGTGGTGTGATGGTTAAGGCAGCTGGATCCCACATGGTCAACTACAAAGTTCAAGTCCTAGACCTAGGTGGCTTGAAAAATACTGGAAGTGTGGGGAACCAGCAGTTAGCGTAATGGCTATGTCGCTGGACTCCCACGTAGTCGACCGCGGTTCACGTCCCGGACCCGGTGGCTTAAAACTCACGCCGGGTGCGTGTGCGTGCATGCCCAAGATCCTGAGAGGAGAATGGAGGAGAAGGGATTGCGGCGTGACCATCCCCCCTGGGGGGTGATTTCTCGCTTTCTGTCTCTATGTCTCTCTCTGTCTGTCTGGCGAGCGCACGTGCCCTGCAGTGAAAATCTCTCCAAAAAAAAAAAAAAATGCTGGAAGTGTGTATGTGGGCCCAAAATCCCGAGAGGAGAATGAAGAAGAAGCGATTACAGCATGGCCATTCCACCCACCCCACCCCCTGCCGGTGGTGATTTCTTACAAACTCTCTGCCTCCTATCCCCGGTGAATGCCTGTGCCCTATGACATAAATAAATAAATAATAAATAAAACTGTGGGTGTTGTTGGATTATTTGGCCTTTTTTCTTTTCTTAAAGAGAGATTTTTGCTATAGGGTCCATGTGCTCTCTGGAGAGACAGAAAGTCAGAACTGCCCCCCCCTGCCCCGGGGGGGGAGAATGGGTGGCAGGAGGTAGCCACGCTACAATTCCTTCTCCTCCATTCTCTCCTTGGGATTTTGGGCACACATGCACACACACCCGATGTGAGTTTTCAGCCACTGGGCCTGGGACTTGAACCATGGTCTACTATGTGGGAGTCCAGCGACATAACCATTACACCATCTGCTGGTCCCAGATTATTTGACTCTAAGATGCCACGGTAGCCTCTTTGGTAGTCTTCAGTTACTCGTGCCTCCTGATATTCATGCCCACGCCTGCCCTGGACTCTGGCTTGGTTTGCGACCTGCTCTAAATGTTACACTGTGACGGAAGTGCCCCATGCCAGTCCTAGCCTCTGTCTTTTGAGCTCTAGCAGGTTCCTGTTTCACTCTGGGGAAGACCAGCTACCACAGAAGAAGTCGAACTGCCAGGAATGTCTGAGATCCCCATGCAAAGGGTGGCGGAACCCAACCCACAGTGAAGTCTGAGGCCCAGGCCCATGGTGCAATTTGGCTATCCCAGGCAGATCCCAAGGGTTCGAGCTCCTCCAGATGACACCACGTGAGAAAGAAACGGCTGTCTCCACCAAGCCTGTCCCAGTTGCAGAGCTGTGAACAAGTAATCACGATTGTTGTTTTAAGTCATGACTATTGGGATGGTCTGTCATACAGCAGTAAGTAACCAAAACAGATTCCGTATTAACTTTGTCATTTTGGCTAGTTTTCGTTCACTCTGAAGAAGTCCTCTTGGAGGGCTGGAGAAAGGCAAATGCAGTGTAACCAGACCCTGTGGCTGGTGCCACCTTCTCTCTTTGTCTCTCACACTCTCCCACGTGCACACGTGCTCTAACAGGAGTAAAGGGGAAAACATCCTCACTGAGTTTACAGTGTTTCTAGGAAAGTATGTTATGGAATTCAGTGGTGAGAACAAGGGACCATGCCTTGTTTTTCTTTCTGTCTCTCACCGTACCTGTCACAGAACCTGGCACATAGTAAGCACACAAGAAGGACATGTTTCTAAATGGCCAAATGGTTCTGAGGAGCAGGAACAGAGTCCAAAGTCTAGCCTGCCATTCTGGCCTGTCCACCCTGGGCTCACACCCTTCTTTTCTGGCTTTTGCTTCAGCCAGGTTGGGCTCTTCTGTCTCCCTAAGCACTTCTTGCTCTCTTAGGCTCCTTCACCTTTACCCAGCTTGTTCCCCCACCCAGCCACACACATTTCACATGCACACCCACATGCACGAGCATGCACACAATTCTGCAAGAATATCTTATCTATACAGCAAGGCCTAGGTCAGATGCTGATCCCTTCAGTCAGGGAAGAACTCACATTTCTCAATTTCCAGAACATTCTGGCGGTCTTATGCCACTTTACATGTCTTATCTCATTTTAAAGTTTTTTTTTTTTTTAACCTCTATGTCTTTTTTCCTTGTTAGATTGAAACTACCGAAGGCAGAACTCTGTCTTGTATATCTTTGTATCTCCCACGTGACCTCAAAGGTCAGTAGGTGCTCAGAAAACGAATATTGATTAGGGGAGAAAAAGAAAGCCATCTGAAGCTATTCTTCCTTCTAGGGAGGAGCCCATTTTGATGAATGAATGGTCATCATTTTACTCCTTAGCACTGATCTAAGATTACTTTATGCTTACTTCCTACAGTTTCCCCTTCCCCATGTGATGCCTGGTAATTAGGATGCCAAGGAAATGCTTTGATATTTCTTGCTTTTGAACATCAGATATGGCACAGTTTGATGACAGAAAAAGGAATGTTTAAGTGCTGCCATGCTAAGGCTCAGTGGAGACCTATGTATAAAACTGGGTCTGCTGTCAGGGTGCTGATGAGATGGGTCTTCTGTGTGTGTGTGTGTGTGTTGTACGTTTTGGTTGTTTTTGTTTTGTTTTGTTTTTAGTTTTTTAGCCATGTGGGATCCAGCCACCTTAACCTTCACGCCACCTGCTGGCGCTTGTTTTTAGTTTTTTGTCATAGGAGAGAAAGAAAAAAAATCTCTCATGGAGGGAAAGTGAGAAATCATCTCCCAGGAGGGATGGTCACACCACAATTCTTTCTAGAACATTCTCAGGATTTTGGGCACACACACACACATGCCCAGCATGATTTTCAAGCTACTGGGTCCGGCACTCAAATTGAGGTCAGTCCTGTGGGAGTCCAGTGCCTTGACCACCATGCCACCTGCTGGTTGTGAAATGTGAGAATAGCGAGTTGTTCTTTCCCACTGGGCCTTGGAGTGCTATGAGTGTGCAGAGCGAGTGCAAGGCCCTT